CTATATTGATCCAGATATATTACATCGCGAAGCTCATATAATATTAGCAGTATTTCTATTAAAAAATAATTAATTTCTAAATAAAAATATATGTGAATACAGTTCAAATAATATAAATAGTATAAATGTTTAAAAATGTTATATACACACGAATTTTGTTTTTATGTGCATCATTTAAATCATCTAGTTCAATGTCTTGGTCATAAATACCATCAATTAGCTTGCACAAAAATATGTAGCTACACACCATGAAGCCCACCAAGGCAATGGGAATAGATGCCGTTGTGTTTGTATGATTTGATTAGTGTATGTATTGGAGGGGAAAGGGATATGAGATATAAATTTAGTAATTTCCAAAATATGTATCCAATAGATTGCCGCCCAATTAATAGGCTACTTAGTGGTGGTGGCGTTTGTGAACTGGTACCTCATATTCCCAGCACTTGTCCTGATTATCCTAATCTTGCAAATCCGATGGATTTATATAAAAACAGCGAGAGATTTGAAAAGATTTGAAAACATGGGTATAAGCTATTAACACTTTTGTACAGTAATATAAATTAGATTATATCTCTGACCACAGCCCGGAGTCCCATATATAACCACATGAGCACTACATTGAGTGGTTTGGCGACTATCCGTGCGTTTGGGACACAAAATATGTTTATGAATCAGTACTACCGGTACCAGAATGACCACACTTCCACTTACTTCATGTGTTTCAACTCATCCAGAGCTATCACTTTTTACAACGAATCGCTTATTTGCTATTTATTTATTCATCCAAATCCATATAAAATGTGTGGTTATTTGGTCCATTCTTACATTGGTATCAATAGTAATTAGTTAGTTATTAAGTGTATTAATTACTTGAAAAGTTAGATTTATAATAATTATAGATATATAATAATAATTACTACGGTAAGATATTTAATGTTAAGAACTAAGTGTAAAATATTGCAAACCATAAATCTAAACATACTAGTATACCTGTCTATAATATTATTTGAAATGTTTTGTTTGATTATTGTTTCGAAAGATTTATTTAAATAAGATATTTATTATACATATCGACGCGACAATAATAACATTGCATCTTATGATCAATTTTTCAGAAACATATTTTGAAATAAACGTATTTCCCTGTTAAATTGTACATGTTAAAGTTTTGTTAATTTTCCTTATTTTTGTTTATTTTACTATAATTAAAAGGAATGCATTAAAATGCGATAAAATTTGTTCAGTATTTGGCTAAAAATAAATTTGCCTAATTTTGTTAAATGGGATTTTGTTGGCAAAATGACTGTTATGTGAGTTATAATCACCAGTGATACATATACGGTAATATAAATTATATATATATATATGAGGATTTTACACTTCTTTAATTGCATTCACGAGAATTGAATAACTCATTGGTCCTAAGAAAAAATATTTTCAACATGATCATTATATTGATAGCAACCTAGCCATGGGTGTACGGTTATGTAATGCCCGCTATTAGGAATATTTTTAAATAAATTGATTAAAAAATTTAATGAATGCGGAAAATTACATAATTATATTGTGTAAAAATAATTTGTAAACAGAGGTAAATAAGGTAAAAACTCTGATTAATAAATGATATAAATACTTTCAAAACTAAAGAAAAAGTTTTAAAAGTTTTCAAACTAAAAATGTTGCTAGGATTGATATTTTCGTTAAAATCATTTTTTCTATTCTTAACTTTATTGGTTATACTTTATTAGTAAGTTTAATTTTAAATAGTTATTAATAAAGTGTTAACTAATAATTATTCGTATCTATTCATTGCTAGTTATTTAACCCGAGATTTTGAATTCTGGAGTTCCCGAGGTATTAATGGTCCAAGACCTGTACCACTTTTGGGGACTTATTGGCAACTACTTTTAAAGCCATTCCAGATAGTTGGCCTGGATAATCAACGGCGGTATGGCAAATTATATGGGTATGTAATTTAATAAACATTTATAATAATTAAAAAAAATTGAATTATGTATGATAATTTGTTTCTATGATAGCACCTATATATGCACTCAACCAACATTAACGGTGAGTGACCCGGAGCTGATCAGAGATATGAATATAAAGGATTTTCACGTATTTGTGAACCGACATGGATACTCATTCAATGATCCCTT